AATATATTAAATTATTAATTAAATTAATATAAAATTAATAATATAATTTTGATGCTGAAAGATAGAAAATGTATTGTCATCCACTTGTATTCTTATTTAGGCTGATCTTTGTGGACTCTTGACAATATTTATTTTTATTTATTAAATTTATATACTGTACTTACCAATAAACCCAAGCTGAGAAAACTCAAGAACTATCCATTCCTGTGATATCTTTTGTTCAATAAAGTCATTTATTGTATATAAATAGCGAGGGTTGGCCACAATATCATCTTCTAGCTGAAAAAGATTATTTTTACTAGCAAAATCATAGATGCTAAAACTTTTAATGGATCTTCCAGAAGAAACTTAAAACTCCAGCAGGAAAAGGATTAGAGTACGACACTAATATGAAAATATGACAGTTCCATGTGTCATTAACTTATCATCAGAAATCTACAAATACAAGGGACATTATTATATATTGGGAAATAGATCCAGTATGTACATTATCAATAAAGCTGATTTCCAGGAACCACTAAAATGATGATTATGTCAAGATTCAACCAATACCCTGATAAAATATTAAGAATAATAGTAAAACACTGATGTATGTATGAACATAACATATAAATAAATTATAGTGGATGAAATTAATTACCAGTGACAAGGTACAAGTATGGAAATGACATGATAGCTAGGAAGGCAATCGAGGAGTGCAATCCTTGAAGGATTCCCTGCCAAACAGCACATGGGAATATTATTATCAACAGAGAGGATCCACCACAGATTGGCAGGACCACAGTCATGTATATGAAAGCTTACACAAACATATTTCTATTGGCAATGTACCATTTCCATTAAGAATAAAATAGGATATTCTTACCCTGAGGCAAATTTGAACTTGCTATTTAAGTTATTCCTGTTTGGTACTCAGGCTGGCTTGACTCTAAGCTGTTTTAAGAAAACCTTGTCTAGACTGACAACAGTTCACAAGCTATTCAGTCCATATTACAAATTACCATATACTCCCACAGGAAAATTCCTCTACTGTGGTGCCTTCCCACCTGTCTGCTCTAGAAACAATTGTCAATCACCTGCTTTGTTAGGAGATTCTTTTGGACATGTATACTTTTGTATGAGTATATGTATACAAAATCAATATATAAAACTGACTTTACATATATACAAAATTAGAATATCCTAATCTACATACATGCAGAAAAAGCTTTGAAAACCTCCTTTTGTACTATTGTTACTTTGTTTTAAAATTTTCTCTACCACAAATACTGTAATAGCATAGTGCAGTAGTTAAAGCATCTTCCTTATAAATATAAGATTACTGGAGAGAGAAAAAATCAATCTGAGGGAATTACCCCCTGACAGTGATGAATGGTGAAGGGATGCCTTATAGCTGGCAGACAAGCTATTTAATAGGCTATGCCCATTTGAAGCTACTTCTTTTTATTTGGTGCCTACCTCCAAACCTAGATAACTACTGTCCCTTTCTTGGGATAACAGATAAGTTCATGACCAGAAAATTGGAAAAGGTTATGAAGCCAGAAGGGAGATTATATGCTTGGTATTTGGATCTATGCCACAGCCAAATCTCATGTTAGCCGTAATCCAATCTCATTGTCAATATTATTCTACTTTCTCCAAAATTCAGTGCTTTTTTTGTGGAAAAAAAAAAAAAGGTGCCGGAACTCACACATGTCATACAACCCACCTTGCCTACCTTACAAGGTTCCATCCAAAAAAGGTGCCGGAACTCCGTTCTGGGCGTTCTATGAGAAAAAAAGCCCTGCCAAAATATATCCTGTTTATTTAACAAATCTCCTCCCTTTCATTCTTTTCCACTACAAGGTGAATTGAATGCTGGCAGGCTAATGCTTCTGTTAACTTTTAACAACCTGATCAGCCCAATCTTGAGTTACCACAGTATTAAAAACAAAGAATCCTGTGGAATATTAAAAGCTAAAGAAGTTTATTTTTATCACTTAAGCTTTTGTGAATCACAGTCTGACAAATTGGTTAGTCTTTAAGGTTGGTGCCATAATATCCATTTATGTCCACCCTAAGGCTGGTGCTTCAAACAGTAACACGACTACCACTCTGAAAACAAAATAGTATTTGTTCCTTTGTAATGCCTTAACATTTTTTAATTGAGCATTAACTGCACAAATATAAACTTCTCAGCTTCTGAAATGGAATACGACTTAAATGTTCCTGACTGTTGGCTCAGGTTCTGAATCAAGATACTAAAAGCTAATGAAGTTTTTAATGTTTTCATTTTACCTCCCTTGAGTGTTGATAAGAAACACTTTCTAGGCCCTATTGAATCAGAGCACCTCAAAAGTGCTTTCAGCTTTGAAATGCACAATTATCTCAGAATGAGGGAGGCCTGAAAGGAGACCGATAATAATTACATTTCACCCTAGGTGAGGAGGGATTTGGCTGCTTGCACTTATGGCTCCCATATCCTCATTATCTATTCCTTGGCAGAGTTAAAAGTCTCTCAAAGGCCCCTGTGGACTCAAGAAAACATGAATGACTGAATGAACTGAAAATATTGACACAAATTTGTCTAAACCACTCTCAATCTTTTATTAATTAATAACGCAATTGCTAGATTGTTCTTTTAAAAAAGGGAAAAAATAGCTTGCATGGGGGAAAAGGAAAAAAGCAAATAGGCGGGTTTATTGTCTTAAATTGCTTCCTAGCACAACTAAAAGAAAAAGAAGAAGCAACCAGTTCTGTTCCCCTTCCCTCCCTCCTATCTATTAGAAAAGGATTCTCACTTACACATATATTCCAGATTTAAAGAAAATATAGCATGAGAATAAACACCCTTTAATCTCTCTTCCCATGTAAAGAAAAACAATGACAAACTTCTCCTAGAACTCAGCTCTTCATTTCCCAGTTCATTTTGGTCATATTTTTACTTCTACTATATTTGTAATATATGTGATAGTAAAATGAATTTACTATTTTTTTTCAGAACCTCATAATATTTTTTGTCAAGATGGTAGCCCATCCTTTTTTTCCTAACTAGTTTCACTTACTAGCTTCATTTAATCTGATTCATACCTTCCTTATTTTTGCTTTATAGAGCACAGCATTCTCTATTACTAAAATGTTTTGATTTTTCAATCATTTGTTTTGTTTTCTTGTGGTCTACTTTCCAGGTCCTTTCTGAAGTGGCAGATATCATGGTTAGGGTAATACTACTAATTAAGGCTCACATGAAGGCAAGTACGGAAAGTTTTAAGCAGCAGCAAGAAATGGTTCTTGTCCTCAATAATAATTGCAGCTTTGGGGGCTTGCATGATTATGAAAATCAGGCAAAGCATTTAAGGTAAACTTAGTTCTCATTCTTTTTAATGACCACTTGTTCAGTGACCATTTGAATTTACAACAGTGCTGAACTAGTAATACACACGACTTGTCTTCATACTTAACAACAGTTNAGCAGCAGCAAGAAATGGTTCTTGTCCTCAATAATAATTGCAGCTTTGGGGGCTTGCATGATTATGAAAATCAGGCAAAGCATTTAAGGTAAACTTAGTTCTCATTCTTTTTAATGACCACTTGTTCAGTGACCATTTGAATTTACAACAGTGCTGAACTAGTAATACACACGACTTGTCTTCATACTTAACAACAGTTGCAGCATCCCTGTGGTCAGATGATTATGATTTGGACATTGGGTGATTGATTCACAGTTATGACATTGCAGCATACTATGGTCATGTGATCATAGTTTGTGACCTTCACTGCTGGCTTCTGACAAGTAAAGTCAACAGGGAAGCCAGCAGGCGGTCACAAGTGACAACCATGTGAAGTTGTACAAGATTTGCTTAATGACTGCAACTGGAAATGCTGGAACTGCCATCAATGAACAGCATAGTCACATGATGTTATGCTTTATGACCACATCGCTTAGCAATAGAAACTCTCGTCCCACTTATTGTTAAATGAAGAGTTCCTGTAATACATTCAACAGTGTCCACAGCAAATCATGGTGAAACCAAGATAATGTAGTGTGAAAAAATCACAAGCAAGTAGCATAGGTTGTACCATTTGTGCAATTTAACAAACAAATTTCATTACTAGTAGGAACCCCCTTCCCTGCAGATTGCCCCTATGGAAGAAAAAAATTGTATAGAGAGATGCCCTCTGTTCCTACCGTCAAAACAATGGTTGTTGGCCCATATTGACAATGCAGCAATAGGGTAGAGCAAATAATCTCATAGGAAATTATTCCCATTACATACACCAATAGAACTCTAAATAAAAACACAAGTCTGGAGCCCATCCCAGCTCCAGATCAAAGATGAATCCTACCACTAGGAGTAGTGGTGAAATCTGAGTAACTAGATCTAGCTCCAAATACTATTTCTCCTAAAGATTCAAATTGATAATCCATTGTGGAAATTTTAAATGATGGGTAGTCCAAGCTACTCAGTGGCCAAGGATCTGTCATTAGCATTTGATCTTGATTATTGCCCAAAAAATACTTGAGAAAGCCAGATGCTAATGTATAAGACAACTTTCCCCAGTCTGGCGTCCTCAAAGTGCTTTAGATTCCTAAAACTATGAGATGATATGACCAAAGACTGAATTAGGCTGATATAAACCAGTAGTTTATCAAATAGCTGCACCGCCAAGAACCATATTCCTTTGAAAAGACAGTAATGATTCTAATCAAGCCAGTAGCCAACTAATTACAATCATGTTCTACTTATGAATTATGTTCCAAAAGGCCTTTTGTAAATCCATTTTATCCACAAGTCCAACAAGCATAAGAAACATGCACAGTACAGTTCTTACCTTAATAAAGAATAGCATCAGGAAAAAACCTGATAGCATCCACAACTCCAACCTAGAAGTTGGAAAGGCAAGAAAGGATTAGTTTTCCAGTATGCCAGGCTGAAGTTGTGGATGCTATCAGGTTTTACCACAATGCTGTTGCTTGTGTAAGGTAAGAACTATACTACACCTATTCACAACTTCAACCTAAAAGGTCCTGGATGTTAAGGGAAGGTGGGAAAATTTCCAATGCACTACATACATATTTTCCATCTTCTTCCAAGTCTTGGATAAGGACAGGTTTGTTCATATTGGCAAAAGCTCGCAACCTGACAGTTCATTAGGAATATCTGTACATCTCTTGTCCAACATTCTCAACACACTAGATTCATATATTCAATTCCTTTATTAAACATTCATGTGAATAATAAAGATGAACATGATTCTGCTAACCTAGCAACAGGCACTTCCAAGTTATTTAATAAAACTAACTGATACCTAAGGATTGTAGAATCCAGGCATATAATCTTGCACAATTTAGACAGTGTAACCATATATATAGTCATGGAAACATACCTGTAAATAATACATTCCTTTTTGTTGGGCATACATCATTAAGAAACTATAATCCAAATTCTGTTTTGTTCTCCATCTAAACAAAAAAAATCCATGAACTTTATAAATACAAATCTATACTTATATTTTTTTTCTGTGTAGATAAGTCAAATATTTTTTTGCTGAAACCCATTCAAATTATTTTGCTAGGTAAAATTCAGAATGGAAATTGCTTTGATTATTTTTAATTGGAAGAGGAATAATGTAGAAAATAACCCTATTGAGTCTTCTGAATGTCAGCAGCTTTCAGTACTATCAAGAATTATATTTTCACTGTCAGAAATTATAGGCACTGTGATAGGATAGGTATATTCCTACCTAACTTGGACATTTCAGAAAACAGATCCTTTATTATTCAGCTGATATTATCTTTCAGGGTTCTTCTATAATATTTTCCTAAAATTTAATTTCTCCATTAATCATCTGTAATATTTAGTTTGCATACACAGAATGAAAACTCTACATGAAAAATACTGGGGGACCCTCATTTTATGATAACAAATAAACCAGCATTCTGTCTTATCCATGGTCTAGAACAGGGATGTCAAACGCAATTTCATCAGCATCGTGGTACCCTCAGGGAGGCTGGGTGGGTGTGGCCCACTGGGTGCGGTGGTAATGGTAGACTGCATGGACGTGGCCAGGGTGGATGTGGCCACCTTGATGTTGCTGTGGGGGTCGGCAGGGTTGGGGGATTCAGGGAGTCTCTGGTTGGTGAGGCAGTGGGTAGGAGACTCATCCTGCGGGGTGAGACAAGGCAAAGCAGGGGATAGGGTGGGGGTGCCATTGCCACAGTGCAAGGCAAGGCAAGGCAGTGGCCGAGGCAGCTGTTGCCTGATACCATTGGCCCTCGCACACAGAGGCCAGTGAACGTATGGGGGCTGATGGTGTCCATCAGCAGCCACAGCCTGCCAGCCCCTCAACCGGCGCACTCTAGGGCTCCGTAGTCCGCTGCGAATACTGGGCCAGCCCTCCAGCAGCAGGTAGAGTAGGGGAGGGGGAGGCACGTGATGCAGACTGCAAGATACGTGTAGTCCATCCCATCTGTTTTTGCTTGCGGTTGGAGAGCAGGTTGTGACTGGTCATCTCAGCCCCTTTGCAGATCTTGCCCTTGCCCTGCACGTGGAGCCTGTTCCCCTCACGCACCCGACGCACCTTGGCCCCACCTTGGGCCACCACCGCCAGCAGTTCGCAGAGGTCCATTAGGCTGCTGCCCCACCCAGAGTGCCTGGCCTACCCAGCACAAAGGAGGCAAATTGGCTGGCTAGTAAGCTCAAGTAGAGAACAAAAACACCCAGCAAGCAAAAGGCCATCCTGAGCGGGGAAAGCCAGATCCCCATCAGCACCATGGCCGCCCAGGCCCAGCCAGGATTGAGTGCCTCCCCCCATCTCTGCTGGGCCTGGGCGACTATGATGCTGATGGGTATCCAGCTTTCCCTGCTCGGGGTGGCTTTTTGCCTGCTGGCCCTGGGTGTGCTCTACCACCTCTACTCGAGCTTCCTAGCCAACCACTTCGCTTCCTTCATGCTGGGCGGGCCTGCAGCTCTGGGTGGCGGCCTAATGGACCAATGCAAGCGACTGGCAGCCATGGCAGGTACCGAGGTGCATGAGGGGAATGCCATCCACGTGCAGGCCAAGGACAAGACCCTTGAGGGTGTTGAAGAGATGACCAGTGGCAACCTGCTCTCCAACCAAAAAAGAGATGGGACAGAGTAGGCATGTCTGGCGGTCCATATCATGTGCCCCCCCAACTCCGCATGCTGCCGGTGCTGCCGCAGCACTGCTGGAGGACCGACCCAGTATTCACAGAGGGCTATGCAGCCCCTGCTGCCGGATGCCATAAGCCCCTGTGCATGTACCTTGGGATCTGCCGGGCTAGGTGGGCCCAGGGCCAGGGTGGTGGGGGCCAGTCCCTCGCCATCTCCGGTTATCCCCATGGGCCAAATATCGGCCAATCATGGGCCGGATGCAGCCTGTGGGCCTTGTGTTTGACAGGTCTGGTTTAGAAAATAGATGGAAGAATTGAAGAGGTGAAGTGGGAGTCTGTGATTCTTGTGGCAATGAAATTTTCTTGTACTGAAAACAAGGGACTATAGCAGAAACCTTCAAACCTAGAAATGATCAGTTATATCACAATAAAAGATGAAGATGCTTAACATTTAAATCTAGGGACTAACATATATAGTGGGCGGAATTTTGCCATGTTGTTCTACAAAGACCTTCATATGTATGGCTTCTTGTATCTGCTTGGAAATGCAGGTAACAGTCTGATATATGTATTAATTTTCCTGGAAAAGGCTAACTTTCCCTTTAAAAAACTGCCTCAACCTGATCCAGACTGCAGTGGTGGTTAATAATGTGTCTTACAGCTTTGGCATCTGTATGTCTTCATGGAAAATAGGGGCCCACTAACTCACCAATATGGGCATGATTTTGAATGCCAGCAGATATATGGAACACATTACATTATGTTACAAAAGTGCTTGCTATATTTGAGTAACAAAGCTAATTTTAAAATGCCTGATTCTATTTATTTCTACAAATGTATATGCTGTGCCAATTATACTCTTGAGCATGAAATAGACATGAAATAGACATATCAAACATAAATCATAAAATAACCAACCTAAAACCATAATATATATAAAAAGGTGAAAGATAAAAACATAGCAACCATGGAACTAATATTCTACCTTCAAAAGGCTCAGCAGAAGACTACTGACTCCACTTTTTTCCATGCTAACCAGCAGCTGAGGTGGAGAGAAAAACACCAAAGGGCTAGGGCAGCCATGGAGAAAGAATATTTCTATCTCCTTAATTTTCCAAGGAGGGGGATTAGAAACATGCCCTCCTAGTCTACTGAGATGTCCCAATGATAAGAAGAACTTAAAACATATGGATCACTAGCAACATTTATAATCTTATTAGAAGTCATGCAATACCAGCAAAGCAGGTATAACTCTGTTGAAATACCTTCTGGGGCAAGTGTTATCCCTGTGGCCTCCACTGTTGTTAGCATGGAAGCTGCTTATGTTGTACCAATTGCACTTTTACTTAGTTTTAAGAGGCAGTCCCAAGCAGACTGTATTAAAGTAATGTAAACCTGGGGTACCTATCCAGAGCATTCTCCATTCTGCTGCAAAATGGTCGTCTCTTGTGCACCAATTTAAACAGGACAAGAACTGGGATTATTTTTTTTAAAATTATACATATATAAATGTTCAAAACTGATGTTATTCTAAAGCTGACTATTATGAGTTCTTTTTCATTAATGTCCTTCTGTTTATATCTGTCTTCTATTGTATTTGTTAATCAGAGACAATAAACATGTGTTTCGCTATTATGTTTTATTATTTATTATGAACATGGGCAAAAATGGACATGATAGTTTAAGAAATAAAATAATCCTAATTTAAAAATACTTAGGAAAATGCATTCCAAGGATTTTATTATCCCATCTTTCATACCTCACTCTTTCTTTTGAATCTCCAAATGTTTCCTTAAGATTGGAGAAATCAGGGTAAAAGGATTCATGGGGAGAAATAATTTCCAGAGCACCAGAAAGAACTTCATTTGGAAAGCTGAAGAAAGAAAAGAACAATATTTTCTTCCAGTGAATCTCTATACAAACTATCAATGTCCGACGGGGGTGGAGGTGGGGGGGAGGGAGGGAGGGAGGGAGGGAGGGAGGGAGGGAGAGAGAGAGAGAGAGAGAGAGAGAGAGAGAGAGAGAGAGAGAGAGAGAGAGAGATGATAGATTTGCCACATTTTCAAAAATCATAATACTGTTGTGGGGAAAATAGGAGGAGGAAGATGTGTTGAATATGTTTGCTGCCTTGAATTATTTGTAAAAATAATAAAGGCAGGATACAAATAAATAAATAATTTTTTTATTAAGAATTTTGATTATACTAGTAAAATCTAATGCAAACTAAAGTCAGAAAAAAGAATAGAGAGGAGTAAAAAGTACAAGGAAAGAGAAAGAAAGAAAAAAGAAAAGAAAGAGAAAAGTATATAAAAAGAAATATATAAAGACAATATATATATATACACACACACATATATATATATTACTTTTAACCTTCATCAGAACAAGAACAAACATGTTTAATAACTTCACCCTCTCTAATATTACAAACATTAATCTCTTCATCCCATATATTACTAAGTCATTCTCCTGGCCTGTCACTTATAAATCTACTTTCAATACCTTCTCTATGTTGTCAGGTAATTTTTTTTCTACATTTGTCATAACTTCCATAATATCTTTGGACACAGTGTATCCACAGAAACAGATATCATTACTAATATTGTTGATATGTGGGTATCTGATTCCATTTTCAAGTCTCCTTCAGTTTTTTTTATTCACATAATGTTTTGCATCATTTCATAAGCCTGTATAATATTTCCTCTACCTAAAATTTTTAATCCACTCTGGTGTCCAGTTTTTGAAATCAAGAAATTGTTTGTCTATGTTATGTCTTACAAAAACCAAAACAGGATCTATTTCCCATGAGTACTTGTTGTACTTTATAATTAATTCTAAAATTTTATTGTAAAAGTTTTAATGTTCCAATTTTGTCTGGACCTTTAGTCCATTTATAACTTTATAAGATCAAGATCAAAATCTTGTTTAACATTTTGCTACTTATTTCAGATTTTTTAAATTCTTAAGCTTATGATAAAATATTGTTTCATTCAGGATTAAGGAGAGACTCATCCAGCATTTTCAAATTTGTCATACCAAAGGCCTCCAATAGTTTAGAAATGTATTTTATTTATTTATTTAGAAAATTTGTATTGCCACCTACTCGCACATGGTGACTTACATAAATAGAAAAACACCCTATAAAAAATAACAAGAGGAAAAATAATCAAATAATATAATAACCCCCCACCCCAGTGACAACACACATTAAACTAGCCATTTGATGGGCTCTGTCCCGTTCTGGGTTCCCTAGGCCCGCTGGTAGAAACAGGTTTTCAGTGCCTTCTGAAAGAGTGCTAGAGTGGGGGCCAGTCTAATCTTTGAGGGAATGATGTTCCAGAGAGCCAACCACAGAAGAGGGCCTTCTTCTGGGTCCTGCCAGATGCATCGCCTTAGGGGATGGGACCCACAGCATTTCTTGCCTCCCCACCCTAGTGGATCGGGTTAATGTGACCAACAAGAGATGGTCCTTCAGATAACCTGGTCCCAAACCATGAAGGGCTTTAAATGTGACAACCAGCACTTTGAATTGCACCTGGAAGCAAATTGGCAACCAGTGCAGCTCCACAGGAGAGGCGTCACATATGCACACTGAGGTCTGCACAAAATCATGCGGGCTGCTGCATTTTGTACCAACTGGAGCTTCCAGATGCTGTTGAGGGGCAGCCCCATGTAGAGGCATTGCAATAGTCAAAATGGGAGGTGACTAAGGCATGAGTGACCGTGAGTAGGGATTGGTGGTCCAGGAAAGGGCATAACTAGCACACCATGTGCAGTTGCGCAAAGGCCTTCCTGGCCATGGCTGCCATCTGCTCTTTGAACAGGAGCCACAAGTCTAGGAGTACCCCCAGATTACGCACAGGGCCTGTTTGGGGCAGTGCCACCCCATCCAAAACCAAAGATGGGCCAAAGAACCCCAAAAGCCACTTGGTCTTGCCAGGATTCAGTTTCAACCTGTTGCTCCCCATCCAGCCCCTAAAAGCCGCCAGGCACTGCGAAAGGGAGGTTACAGCATTGCTTAATTCAGCACGGGCTGAGACACACAGCTGAGTATCATCAGCATACTGATGATATCTCAGTCCATGGTGACAGATGATCTCACCCAACGGCTTCATGTAAATGTTAAATAGAAGCAGAGAGAGTACCGAGCCCTGCGGAACCCCACAAACCAGTGGGTGAGGGCTGTATCTCTCGCCTCCTATTAACACTGACTGAGAGTGGCCACAGAGGAAGGAAGTGAACCAGGATAGCACAAGCCCCCCCCTCCCACCCCCTAATCAAAATGGTTAGAAAGTGAGATTTACAAACCTTTAAAAGTCTTTATCCTAGTTGTAAGCAACCTGGATAATCCCTATCTTGAGATAAGATGGGTGGCCTATAAATTTTATGAATAAATAAATAAATAAAGTATCATCTCACAACACCCAAGTCCATGGCAAAGTGCTGTCCTGCAATCACAATGTGAGGAGCAGCTGTCTGGAGCCTATGGGGGTGATCTCCCATCATCTCCTTATCCAGAGGGGTTCCAATGAACTGGTCTCCTCATCGGTTCCATTGTCTTTGCTGCAGGCTTCAGTTCACCATACCTCCCCCAGAAGCTCAATAGCTGCCTTAACTCAATTTAGTTTATGGAACTATGGGGATGCAGTTTCTGATATGTTACATAAAAACAATTTGCCTCTCAAAATGGCAGAGATATAGATACAGATTAAACATTAGAAAGAACTTTTTGCCAATAAGAGCTGTCAATCAGTGGAATCAGGAGTTAATTGCATAAAATACCTCAAGGAGTGTTTCTTCCCCTTCAATCAGAGGCTAGATCTATCAGGGATGTTATAGTTCAGTGGTTCTCAACCTTTTTAATGCCGCGACCCCCAACCGGTCGTAAGTCGAGGACTAAACTGGTCGTAAGTCGAGGACTAAACCGGTTGTAAGTTGAGGACTAAACCGGTCGTAAGTCGAGGACTACCCAACCAGTCGTAATTCGAGGACTTTCCCTGCTCGGGAGTGTCGCACATGCATGGTTCCGCCCCCTGCGCCGGCCGAGGCGTAGCTGGCAAGCGGCAGAGACCGAGCAGGCCGACCACCAGCTGGCCCAGTCCAAGGGAGGTAAGCCACCTGCCGGAAAAGGGAAAAAAAATGGTGGACAGCCTTGCTTGGCGACCCCCGTGAAATGGTCGATCGACCCCAAATGGGGTCGCGACCCATAGGTTGAGAACCGCTGTTATAGTTAATCTTACAACGTGCGTGGGAGTGGACTTGATGACCTCTTGGGTCCCTATGATGTTATGAATGAATCAGGTCTCTTCTGCTACCTTAAATTACACACTACAGTTACACACTACATATATACTTTGTCTAGCATCTGTAATTTTTTAAGTAAAGGTAACAGTAGATTTTAAAAAAACTTTTAAAGGTATCATGCAATTAATTTCACATCACACCAAATTTATCATGAGTGAATTTTTAAGCTATGCTTTTAAAAAGATTTTTAAAGATTTACCTTCTTTTAATGCTTTCTGCAATGCCATTAACATATGTTGAGTTCACCTAAAAAAATTAAAGAAAATTTCAGAAATGTTATGTTCTGAAACCAGATTTATTTATTCTTCACAGTCCCTTCTTTTTCACTGAGAATATATGTAAAAAATCAAATCTTGATCACCAGGACCAGAGGTTGATCACCAGGACCAGAGGTTTCCTCTTCCAAATTTTCAAACTTGTGCTGGAGTTCATTCTCAGGGAAGCTTTCTCCAGCAGAGAGTGCATCTGCTAGAGAGGAACTTCCTGAGAAAGGGCTCCAGCAGGAGTCTGAAAGCTTGGAAGACTAAACCAGGGCTTTTCAACCAGTGGTACGGGTACCACCTGTGGTACATTGGCACCTGGCAGGTGGTACGCGAGCATCCTAGAAAAGTAGCAGGGGAGGGAAATGAGCTGAACCGGTGGCAGCACCGCACAAGCCTGAGTGAGAGATGGCTGGAGCTGCAGGGCTGTCAGGGCTCAGCGGAAGCGCCAGGATCAGCGCCAGGCTCCAGCTGGACCTCGGCACTGATTCTGACGCTTCTGCTGAGCCAGAAGAAGCGCCAATCAGCTGGAATGTTGCAGGCTCTCCAGGGTCATGTGAAGTGACCAAAACCTGCTGCAACCACCCAGCAGACGGGGGGAATAAAAGCCAAACACCCCCCACCCCACCCCCGCTGCCAATCCTCAACAGAAATGCTCACAACAATGAAAACCTCGGACAGGAGGAAGAGCGCTGCCGGGCAGGCAGGCAGGTGTCTTGTTCGGCTGTGACTTGGGGGGGCACTTTTTTCAGTGCTATTGTAACTTCGAACAGTCACTAAGCGAACTGTTGTAAGTCGAGGCCTACCTGTACTTTATCACATTTTCCTTTTTTTGGGGGGGGATCATCAAGTTTTTGACACCTTGCTAGGCGACTGGTGGTACTCGGATATTGCCATATCCTAAAAGTGGTACAATGGGTGAGAAGGTTGAAAAACCCTGGACTAAACCTCTGGTCCTGGTGATCAACCCAGATTAGAACCTGCAACATTATCCTGGAACACATATATTTACCTTCATGCATAAAAGAATTAACCTGCATCCGCTTCACTTTCCATTGCATTATAAATTTGGATTCATTGCTCTCCTAGGCAAGAATTTTTATGCAAACATTCGCTCTGTGGTCTTTAACAAACAGCAGGGAACCATATTATTCTAATTTGTTCTTTGCAAAGTAATGGAGTTAGAATACCTAGGTCAGGGGTAGGCAACCCAAAACACTCAAAGAGCCACTTGGACCCCGTTTCCCATCGAAAACAAAACACTGGGAGCCGCAAAAACCTTTTGATATCTAAAATGAAGATAACACTGCATATATACTTTTTTACCTTTCTCCCCCCCTCTCTCTCTTTCCCCCCTCTCTCTCCCTCTCTCCGATCTTCTGCTCATCTGGCAAGCTGACTTCAAGCTGTTCTCCAACAAGCTCAGGGGTAGGCAACCTCGGCTCTCTTATGACTCATGGACTTCAACTCCCAGAATTCCTGAGTCAGCATATCAGGAGTCAGGGCTAGCTAGCTCTCTCCTGCCCTTCCTGCTTCCTGCTTCCTGCAGAGGCGCAGCAAAGGGAGGAACCCCACCCCAAAAGCTTTTCAGCTTGTTGGAGAACAACGTGAGTCCACTCTCTTTTACACACACACACACACACAGAGAGAGAGAGAGACAGAGACAGAGACAGAGACAGACAGAGACAGAGAGAGAAGCAGGGAAGCGCAAATGCCTCTCTCTGTCTCTGTCTCTCTCTGCAAATGGCAGAGGAGGCTGGGAGCCACAGGGGAAGGCTCAAAGAGCCGCATGTAGCTCCGGAGCCATAGGTTGCAGACCTGTGACCTAGGTTAATGATAAACTGTTTTTGGTCTCTTATATAGACCAGAAAATCAACCAAGTAATAAAGAGTAATGGAAGGGAAAACAGGAGATGAAGCGTTCTTAAAAGATATAAATTTGGGCTAAGATGTGTTCCACTTGCAAGAATAAATAGCAAATTCCTTTATCATTCCAAGAAAAATCCCTCTGAATCATCTAATACAGTGACGGCGAACCTTTTAGAGACCGAGTGCCCAAACTGCAACCCAAAGAGATGTTAAATATGAGAGCCATTGATTAAAGGAAATCAGCAAAGATATGTTAGGAATAAATTATATCAGACCAATCTTATTTTCTGAGTAATATTAGTCTGGTAAATCACAGAAATATAGCAGGCGGGCAGCTGGGTCATTGAACGGGTGGGGTGAGATTGCTGAGCAGGGAGTGTAAAGGCCCTGAGATGCACGGGTGCGGGGTGCATGGAGCAACTCCACATACTCTCGCCAACTGCCTCACCTCACTTCATGGTGGCGGCACCTGCCTCGTTGCGGTAGCGAGCAACCAGATGATGGGATGGAGTGGGTGGGTTCTTAAGTAGGGCTTATTTTGGGAGTAGGGCTTATATTAGGTGCATGTTAAAAACATGCTGGGGCTTATTTTCTGGGTAGGTCTTATTTTCAGGGAAACACGATACTAATGGTAAGATCTGGCTAATTTTCTAGTACAGTATGATTAATATTATCGTAAAATGTAGAATAGATAGCATTATTGTTTTAAATTATCGTCTTAGACCAAGGGTCCCCAACCCCTGCTCCGTGGACCAGTACCAGGCCATGGCATGTCAGCAACTGGGCCGCACAAACAAAGCCCCATCCATGGGATGCAGGCAGCACACAAAACCACGCCCCTTCTGGTCTGTGGAAAAACCTCTCTCCATGTAACCAGTCCCTGGTGCCCAAAAGGTTGGGGACCTCTGTCTTAGACTGAAATATTTGACCAAACCTGACACGTACCAAACAGAGAAATATATTTGGTTCAAAAGCAGAGTAAAATAATAAAGTACATGTATAGGATTGTAGAATATAATTAGACTGTAAAATGTGCAAAAAGCATCCCGGTAAATTTGCTAAAAGCTTGCTAAAAAGTCAAATTCAAAAAATTGCATTTTAAGATGCTTAATGCCTAAATCAAGGCATAGTATGCTAAATATATGTTACTTGCTTAACAGCCATTAATTCAGTGACCATTCAAAGTTACAATGGTGCTGAAAGAATAGTAGTTACAACTCATCTTCAACGTTACGGCCATTGTAGTGACCCTGTAGCCACATGATCAAATGTTTTCATGCTTTACAGCCTGTTCCTATTTACAACCACAGTGTGTGCTTCAAATCGCCTTCCCTCCCCCCCATCTCTGCCCTTTTGGCTACCTGCAATCTACCACCATCACCTACTCTTGTGCCATGAAGGCCTCGTGAAGAGCCACAACTGCCTCAGCACATTTTGTCAGCAGTAGAAGGAAGAAGATGGCAAAAGTCCACTGGGGTGCGGGGAAGAGGGACTTGGTAGAGTGCAAGGTGATACAAAGCACAGAGATGAAGAAAGATAAATGGAAGGAGGGGGACATGAAGTGGAGGCGAGGACAACAAGGCAGGAGAAGCATCAGGTCCTCCCTAACTACTGCACAGTCCTTGCCAAACAATTGTAACTGGGACTGACAGAACTGCCATCGCTAAGCAATGCCATCATGTCATGTTTTGCTTAATTAACACTTCACTTAGCAATGGAAATCCCAATCCCAATTAGGATAATTAACTGAGGATTATTATATTGACAAACTCTATATTATATACAATTCCTTCAATAGAACACAACTTAAGTTACGAGTATATATGGTACTATATTTAAAATAATCTTATATTTGAAAATGAATCTGACACAGAATTTAATTTAAATAGAAACCTTTTCTGCCCATGAAAATTATGGTTTCTCTTAACATTTAAGTCAGAGAAAATCTATTAAATAAGGAAGGTTTCTTATTAAATTAATTGCAATATTTAAAGAATATTACTGCTGTTGATAACTTGATTTTACTAATAAACTGATGTAAATGTAATATTACTTAATGTGTTTAATGTCTGCTTTCATATAATTACTAAAGGTAGATGACTGTAATATAATTTTATTAGTATAATTTCCATGTCATTTTAAACATTAAAAGATATTTATAAAATAAAAACTGCCCCTTATATGAATAATGTCTTGTTGCTATAGCAGTTGCACTAGCATATGATGTTCATTTTCTGAAATACTCATTCTCTGCTACCATAAATTCAATATATGCTATCACATTATAATCCATAAATTCAACAGTTTTAATAGAAATCCTGCATCTATAGACCAGGAATAATTCAAAAGCAATAACTCACCTATGCATTTTTCAAATTCAAGAATTATTTGTAATGTTTTTGAATATCATAATATAATCTATAATAAAATATAAAAAGAGAGCCAGTTTGATATAGTGGTTAAGGCAACTTGCTAGAAACTGGAATTCCAGTTCCACTTTAGGCTCAAAGCCAGCTGGGTGACTTTGGGACTAGTCACTTCTCTCATCTGTAGGGAAGAGGCAATGCCAAAAAACTTCTGAAATCTTTCCAAGAAAACTGCAAGGATTTATCCAGGCAGTTACCAGGAATCAGTGGTGAATCAAAGGCACATACACAAATGTACACAAAACATAAAGGGAGAGAACACAGTATTTACAAAAGGATCTTGAACATGTTGATGGAGAAAATGAATTTTAAAAATACTTCCAGAAGCTCTAATTAATATTCAGTTGCAGAGTACTTATATAATAATAGATATAAATTACTATATTTCCTTTTTTGTTAGCTTAAATGAATCATTATTATTTTATCTTACCTCTGCTATAAGGACAACTATCACACATTTTTTCTTCTGATATTTAGACATTCCATTGAAAAGGGAATTCAATGTACTCATCAAATAACTTTCCTTTTTTCTTCGCACTGATGATATACCAATTACTAGGAATACTAACATACAGAAATTATTTTATTTTATGTAATAGCAATATGTAAAAAGCAACTGTTGTGTAAAAACAAAACTTGTTATTATTATTATTTGGGAAATGTACAATATTTTTTTGAAGAACATATACAGGTAGTCCCCAACTTACAAAAATTCATTTAGTGACTGTTCGAAGTTACAATGGCCCTGAAAAAATTGACATGACTATTTTTCACATTTACAACTGTTGCTGCATTTCCATGGATACAGGATCAAAATTCAGATGCTTGTCAACCAACTCATATTTATGATGGTTACAGTATCCCAGTGTCAGTGATCACCTCACCTTTTGGACCTTCTGACAAGCAAAGTCAATGAGGAAGCCAGATTCACTTAACAACCATGTTACTGACTTAACAACTATGATTCACTTAACAACTGTGACAAGAAAAGTCGTTAAAATGGTGCAAAACTCACTTAACAACTGTCTCACTTAGCAACAGAAATTTTGAGCTCACTTGCGGTCATAAGTGGAGGACTATCTGTAAAAAGAAATGAATATAAAGTGTATGGATAGTATCTTGATTATTATTTCAATAATTCATAAATAATATCATTTTTCATAGATCCTTCATTCCTTGATTTTTCAATTTATAAGCTACATACGTATACCCAAGAAATCTATCTTGTATTATTTAGGTGCTTTGCAGACATTATTTACAAACTTTCAAGTTAATGAACTTTCATCAATACAAAGAAACCTGTGCACAATCCAACTTAGAAGGTACCAAAGTCAGGAGAAGGCAGGAAAGGGTTAGTTTACAGCGCACCACATATGTCTGTGATGCACCATAAACTAATGTTTTCCCACCTTCTTCCAACTTCCACTCACAATTTCCACTTCCTGATCTGCACTCATACACTCAAGTTTGTTGCTACTTAAGTAAGGTAAGAGCTGTCTACTGCACAAGTTTTTTTATACTTGTTTGGACTTACAAACAAAATGGACTTATGAAAAGCCTCTCAGAGCCTAACCTCTTTGTAAGTAGAGGAATATCTGTATTTTGAATTACCTGCTGTTGGTCCTGGAAGGTTTGTCATTTCTTATAGATATCAGCAGGAAATTCTATGTGTATCCTGATAGTATCATATTTTCACCATCCCAACAGAAGTCTAAAGTAGGTTTGTGCTAAGCTGTTGATAATACACACTTTTATGGAAATTAAACACTAGTAAACTAATGTGGTATAATGTGTGATCTGATCTGGAAGAAATAGGACTAGTGTGCTACTGAGTCAAATAGATTATCAAGAAATTTGGGCAGTTTGTCACCTTTCAGCTTAAACTTTCACTTCAGTTACTGGAAGAATAATAGGATAATAACAGTTCTCTAAGCAGTGTATTAAATGAAAGGAAAAATGTAACAATCCTAGCTTATGTATTTTGTTTTCATCTTTAATTTAGGATTTTAAACAATTCTCTAATAGGGATTCTTCATGTAAGCAACTAAGTGCAACATACTTTCAAATGTGGATATACTGTATCATCTCTAATATTCACAGATTTGTTTTTATCGGATATGTACACTCAAATGAATAATGTAAAAACAACGCTCCTTTCCTTAAAGAAAACTGCCCAGAAACTTTGATGTTTTCACGATTACACAATTAACACACATGCAAACACTCTCTCTTCTCTTCTATATTCAATTTTATTCTCACCCCCAGTTCTACTCTGCTCAGTTATGACTTTTGGGTAAATAGCATCTTCATTTTTCTGGAGATGTGGCAGATAGTAGCAGATGGTTGCAGGATGTATTGACAGCTTGTTCTTCAGGACTTTCCACTCCATGTAATCTTTAAAAAAAAGAAAAAGGAATTACTGAACATAACATAAACAATTAACTGTCCACAATATCAAGATTCCATTTTCAAAGTGCTGATACAATCCTGTAGTATGATAATGTGATAGACTATCAAGGGTGCATTCTATACATAGTAAAATGCATTATGATAATTTAGCAGATTTATCTCCAAATTACTGTCTTCCAGAAATTTACTATAATTCCCACGATTCATAAGCATGGTTAAAAACCGGGAATTCTACAAATTTAGTACCAGTGGGTGTAGATCACATTTAATATTTGGATAATATTAAATTATAAGGCTGCTATTTTTATGCAGGCTTTTCTTGGTCAAATACTAAATTTAAAACCTATCCATGCACTAGTCCCATTTTGCACATTGCACATGATTAAAACTGACCTTACAATGTACTTTTTAATGCTTTCTCTTGATGGAACTGACCCTTAGCAATAATATGTGTAAAACTGAAGATGTGCTGTGTATATTTCTGATTCTAGCACTGTGTATCCATTTGAAATTAATGATGCTAGAACTGAGTACAAAGAAGAAAGGAAAACAAGACATCATTTTATATGCCATTTTATAATAATTTTACTTTTTCCCCCCTCTAAGTAAATAATAGTTCAGTGCAAGAAAACATGTTTTGTTTATATAAACAATCATTGGATCTGCCTATCTCAGATATAAAACCTAGGGGGCAAACCCCCTGAATACTAGAAAGCAAATATTAATTAGAGAAATAAACTGATTAATGAAATATTTTCACGAAAGCATTTATTTATTTAGTGTTTATATACACCACTGGATTCAAACAAAATGTTTCCTAGCAGTTTACAGAATAAAAATATAAGAACATCAATAAAGCCAATGATACACAAACAGCTATAAAGCAGTAAATATTAGTGACCATTCTCACAAATGTTCTCCAGATTAACTCTGTTTCCAGATGCCTACAAATGATGGTGCCAATCTAATTTCAAGAAGGAAAGTGTCTCCTAACCCAGGACCTACAGCAGAACAACACTGCCTGTAAACTCCAGCCCCTTTTACCTCTATTACAAGGGAGGCCATTAAAAGATATTGGCAGAAGGCTTGCACTAGAAAAGCTGGGAGGGACACCTCTATGCCAAAAAAGCAATTCTGTAAGTATCAAGCCATATAAATTTACAGATCAAACCAGTATTTTGAATTGCATCCAGATACTTTTTAGTATCTAATGCAGCATCTGTAAAACCAATATTATATCACTACAAATCATGGAGTTATTCTTTCAGGGAAAGTCCCTTCAAAGGCTGTCACCACAGTTTACAGTCATCCTTTCTACAATTCTGTCTTGCCCGGGTTCAGTTTAGCTTGTTTTGTCTCATCCAGATCCAAACAAACTCTAAGCACCGATTCAAGACTGTACCAACATCTCTGGCTCAGTCCAGGATGAAATTATGTAGGATGTACAGCTGTACTGAGTACTGATACTGATAGGTGGGAAGATTTATGATTTATATCATAAAGACAGCTATCTATAAGAATCTGGAAAGCAGTGTGGTAGCTACCAGAAGTCAGTTGGAATTGTCAAAAATGAATCTTACCAGACTAGCCTTACCTCATTTTTAAATTAAGTAACTTCCTATATAGATAATGATAATGCTATATCTTGATCTCAGTATAACTTTTGACAAAGTACCACATGATAGGCTAATTTGCAAGCTACGTAATGCGGGTAATGTGAAAGAAAGGGCTACTCCAAGAATCAGTTCTAAAACTTCTATTTTTTGATACTTTTATTAATGAATGGGATAAAAACATGGAGAGAAGGCTAATAAGATTTTCATAAGATACAATATTGGGGGAGATAGCTATTATCTTAGAAATTAAATAAAATTCAAAATGAGAGGTTAAACAAATAGATAAGAGTAATAGAATGAAATGAATAAATGAAATGCAATTTTGAGCTATATCAACCAAAGTGTAATTTTCAAACGATGGCAAGTAATCATACCCTTGTATTGTGTTTTGTGCTTTGATCAGACTCAGGAGTCACTGGTTGCATTAAATTGCATTTGCATAGCACCAGAGGTTGCTGGAAGGAGTAGGTCACAATAAGTTCAAGAGGACTGAGACTTTGTCCAGTGGAGCAGGGTAGTAGCCTGCCGCGCCTAACAGAGCACGAATACATACAACTAAAAATCTAAAACAAGAAGGGTGCAAGATAATATCTACCTACCCTCACTCTGTGGAATGACTCATTGTGAGGGCAACTGAACTTCTCATCAGAAAACAGCAGCAGTTCATCCTTGGTAAGTATATGATTGCAATTTTATTTTAGAATGTCTGGCTTAATTCAGTGCAATACATGTTTTGCAGCTGTCTTTCTTGGTACTTTTTAAAAACTTGGATACAGGTAGTCCTCAATGTACGACCACAATTGAGCTGAGAAATTCTGTTGTTAAGTGAGACATTTGTTAAGTAAATTTTGTCCCATTTCATGACCTTTCTTGCCACAGTTATTGAATGAATCACCGCAGTTGATAAGTTGGTAACCCAGTTGTTAAGTGAATCTGGCTTCCCCACTGACTTTGCTTGTCAGAGGGTCGCAAAAGGTGATCACATTACTTTGGGACACAGCAGTGGTCATAAGTATGAACCAGTTGCGAGGCATCTCAGTTTTGACCACCTGATCATGGGAATACTGCAAAGGTCATAACTGTGAAAAATAGTCATGAGTCACTTTTTTCAGGGCTGTTGTAACTTTGAACAGTCACTAAACAAACTGTTGTAAGTCAGGGACTACTTGTACTGTCCTATTGGTAAGCAGATTGCTAGTTTACATGGACAGATTGCTTGTCTAGACTCCAGAGTCTTTACTTTGTGTTCTTCAGGCTGAAATTAGGTGGCCAACTCAGCTGGCATGTTCTATTGAGCACACCTGCTATCAGCCCCCCCACCATATTTTAAATTGGATTTTAATCAACTTTTAAAATAAGAAAAGGCCTATTTAAATATATCTTTTAATTTATTTTAAATTTGTATATTTGTATCAATTGCTCTGCTTTTTAACTGGCTGTAAGCCGCCCTGAGTCCACCAGGAGAAGGGCGGGATATAAATACAATAAATAAAATAAAAATACAATAAATAAATAAAGACCCAGCAGGAGAAGAGCAGTATGGGCAACTGTTGGATATGGAAGAGTGAGAGCTATGGATCATAAACATGAAGCTTTTGGTGTGTCCCTGCATAATAGATACAGTGCCCTTGCTGAACTTAATAGGGATACTAAGGTGTCAGGTTCAGCTGTTTGTGATGAAAATAATGACTCAATAGAGCATGGGATTGTGGTCCATGAGGAAGAATGTCTGCAATCTTGCATCCTCTCCTTGTTCAGAGAGGTTTGAAGAACTGATTTTTTCATTCTTTGCTCCAGTCATTGTTTCTGCTCTCCATAGAAACATATTTATCTCATTGTAATTCTAAAAATATCATTTGTTTATCAGAGGTGGATATTGTAAAAGTATAAATCAGATTAACAAGATATTAATCACTGAAAATATCCATGCATTTTACTTCAAATGTGACTTTAAGATTGGTGTGTATTCTAAATGGGATATCTATGTTAAACTCCTCTAGGTATTTCAGACAAATCAATAAGCTACTGACAAAAATATTATAGGGCAGTCAGACCCTAAGGCTCTTTTAAAATTTTGGTTTTATTTTTGGTTTTAGTTTTATAAGGGAGTAGTATCTTGGTATTTGATAAAATGTTTATTGTCTTTTGAATAATACATTCAATTAAAAGATTTAAAATGTGAAGTTAAACAGTACAAAATAGGACCAAAAATGTCCTAAAACAGTAGACCCTTGATTTAATAGATTAAAAGAGCAAAGTGTATCCATTAAAACAGATTAAAAAACAAAACAAAAAACACTTAGAATGCCAAATAAATGGTGAATGGAATTGTTTTATGTGCCAAACACAGCCATGGAGTTAGACTGTAATAACATAATTGGAATAGATGATTGATACTGTTAAATTGCTCACGTGCCTCAATATTACATCATTTACACAAAGAAGAATCAGTTCAAACAAACACTACAGTATGTCTTAAATATTAGTTGTCAGCAGATATAACTTTGAAGCTGAAGTAACATGATGTGTTACTGATGTGCACAATTTGCATCAACCCTGAAAAGCGAGATCCATACAGTAATTGGCTTCTAGTGCTTTCAGTGCTAGCAAGAAAAGATCAATCACGCCCATTCTATCTATTTTGTTGACGAAATTATTTAAATGTATCTTATTTAAACCTGGTAAATTACACAATTATTTGTTTATATGGAGTTACAGTGTCTAAGTACATTTCAAAGGAAATGTCCCCTTGGCCCTTTATTTCTGAGGGGAAAAATGTCAGACAGTTTGCCTATTGAGTGGGATGGGGGGAACCAACTATATGTAAAACATATAACCTTAATTAGCCTTAAACATTACTCCTGCATTGCAGGAAAAGAATCAACCCATATTTTCCTTAACCTCATCATCCCAAATTAGGAGAAAAAAGGAATATGAAGCTTCGTGCCCAATTATATCCACATAAGATAGGACAGTGTTTCATACTTGATCATATCCTGAAAATTGATCACATAGGTCAGTGGTGGTGAACCTATGGCACGGGTGCCAGAGGCGGCACTCAGAGCCCTCTCTGTGGGCACGCGCGCCATCGCCCCAGTCCTAGGCCTTCAGCTGGGTTTTATAAAACCTTTTCACTTTAGGCCTCCGCCGCTGTGTACAAAAAAAAGAAAAAATCAGTCAATTTCAACTTCTTGCGGGGAAAAAAAAGATCTTGCAAAGTTGGAATTGATTGATGGAACTTTTTAGTCCCACCCAGTCTGCCGTTACCATCGCAGCCATGCCCACCCAAGGGGCCACACCCACACAATGGGCCACACCCACACAATAGGTCACGCCCATCTGGCACTCAACGATGCATAAGTGGGTTTT